AAGATGAGTTATAATCCACATTTTAGCCCTGAAATTTACTTAACCCCCCCCCCCCCCGCCCCCCCTATACCAAGAATTATATATTTCCTGAAAGCACAGTCCCTGTAGATTAAAATGTTGGCAGTTGCAAATGTTTATGTCTCATAATATTAGCACAACTCCTTATTAAGCCCCAAATTTCTGTAAAAGAACACTTAAGTTTATTTTAGTGCACAAAAACACAATACAATACTCATTTTTTGTATAAAATATAAAAGATGAGGTTTTACTGAGTATATAGTTACCCAATATGCCAAGCTTAACCCCTTCATGACTGAGCTGGTTTTTAGTTTCTGTTCGTAAATGACTGACACACTTTTGACATTTTTGCTTTGTGATTCTTCCACGTCAGAATATACTTTCTTACAAAGTGCACCCACACATATTATATATTGTTTTTTAGAGGACAGATAGGGCTACATATTTATATCACATATGTGTGTCTAACGCCTCACTTAGGACAAATAAAATATAAAAAAAGAGAAAAAAAACGTTAAAAAAAACACTTTTTTCCCAGTTTTGATTTATAGTATTTTTTTACAACACCAGCACAGCTAAAAAAATGCAATAAATACATTCATTTATTTGTCCCTTATTTTTTATTTTTTTTTACACATTTTTTTTTTTACACTTTTCACAATTTTTTTTTTTTTACACTTTTCACTTTTTTTTAAACTTAAAAATTGTATTTTATTTATTTAATTATATCAAGCAGTCATTGTGAATTAATCTCACTGTTACTGCTTGATAAATTAATACATTTTTGGTTATTATCAGGCTGCTTCAAACTTCAGAACAGCCGATAATAAGTTAGTGACACTGATCCTGCAGCAGTTCAGGATTCAGCTGTTACTAAAGGTTTTCTGATTGTTGCAACAACGATCAGCAAACTGAAACATTCTTCTTCCAGGAATAGATACATTATAGGAATAGACACATTATGTATCTATTCATGAAAGAAAAAAAGAAAAAAAAGCCAGTATAGCTTGAGAGAGATATCTCTCTCGATCTATACGAGCTGTCAGAATGCCGGCAAAAGCCGGCATGTGTGTCCGCTTTGCTTTGACTCTCAGACACCCGATATTAAGGTATCGGGTGTCTGAAAAAGGTTAACCCTTTCATTAATGAATGCCTCTGTAGTAAGGGCATCCATTAATGAATGTTAAAAGCTGATTCTCAGCGATTAACAGCCCTCTAAAGAAGCAAATAACTCGTCACGTACAGTGTACGTGACAAGTCATTTGGTCCCTTTGTGGCTGGACGTACAGTGTACGTCTCCCGTCACGAAGGGGTTAAACATTGCATGAAACAGCTAAAAACATATGGTCTAAATTGTTCATAGGCAGTAATTTAAAAGCCTATGCAGGCCATCAGTTTAGAGTTAACCATGAATTTTGGCCCTAGAATTATTGCTGTCACTTAAGGCATATGTCGATGGCAGCAATAGGGTTCGAGTAGTATTGAAGGCTCAACCTTTTTTTTTTTATAAAATAAATCCAGATCAAACAAATCTACATTACCCAGCAAAGTATTTTTCTCCAACTCTCTCAGCTTTGCTTCCTTGAACTTCCTGTCCTGTACAAGATCACAAGGAACAGTGCAGTCTCCAGCAGCCATCCATCTACTTTGAGAAGGGAGGGGGAAGCAGGGAGCAGAAGAGGAGCCTTGCTGTGTTTGTGAATAATAGACTATGTCACCTGCACACTGAGGATCTTCGGCCAAAACACCTTTATTAACATCTACATATTATGATCAAACAAATAACAATGTTGCGGGACCACGCATGGCCTTTCCATCAAGCCCAAACAAGAGGCTTACTGGTCATGAGTGCGTCGGTACACCCATAGAACTGGGTGTTTGTGAAGACACACATAGCTTACTACACACAAGGGTAGTTCCTTAGGAACCTGCAAGGGAAAGGAGCCAACCTAAAACAGGATATCAGGGCCAGTGCTCAGATGAACAACTGATTCTGCCGGAAACTAAAACTTTTTTTTTTTTTTACTCTGAAAGTTTAGATGTTACCTTTTGCCAAAAATCAGATATTATCTGCAATACCATATGAAATGAAGAAAGTCTGCATTTGGCTGAGAACACTTGAACATTTAGTTGTGTTCGAATGCTGCATTCTACAAACCACCTGAACCAGAGTTAAGTAGGCCTGATGGATAATATAAAGCTGAATTAGTTAATTATTGGTAGCCGGTGAGACTGTTAAATGCAAGGAACATATGCCCTCCCAATCCTCATCTGTTAGAGTAGGAATTCATTGTTGCCACGGATTTCACGCCAGTGGGAGTGACCCACTCAACTTAGCATGTAACAAGTGAGAGTACAAAGTGGAAATCAATCCCTTGGGACCCCGTGAGTTGAAAATACCAATCAATGGGTATTTAGAAATGCGCACCCTATTGATGCTGAAGTGAGAGTTAAAGGGGTACCGCAACTAGAGGTATCTATAGAAGTGTGTCCTAGAGAGGCCAGATTTAGTCTGCAATTGGTTAAAGGAGCATAACATTCCTTAACAAAAGATATCTGACAATTAAACAGGCCCCTGCTCTTCCAAAATGAACTATCAGGGATTGTCTTAAAATTAGGCAGGGCTACATTATCCCATAAAGAGTAATCCCATAAGGAACAATCACTAGGAACATTAGAGTAGGAAAATTACCTTCTCTGCAAATTGTTCTTGCAAGTTCTAAAATAGGTATGCGCTTCCCATACAACAGCCGAAGTGGGGCCTTCAGTCCAATATTGAGCTGAGGCACCTGCAAAATACAGGCTAACATGAACATCTGCTGTGGAGAGGTCTATAGACGTGTGCCACCTACTAAGCAACACCAAATAAACAATGTTGCATGACTGTTTACAAATATCCCTTTTGTTTTCATCACACAGGAAGTACATTTAAAACTGTTCAAGAGGCTGTGCAGAAGAATGATGACAGCAGTGTGTTTGGTTCTGGACAGAATCACATGATCAGCTCTCATCAATGGGAGCAGCAAGAAGCAATATTTATGGAACTGTATGAAAAATATCTTAGCATAGATATGCCTAAAATCCCAGAAGGAGACACATCAAGGTAATGGAGGTTACCACCGTTTAGGAGAATATTGTTATGCCTTTATATGATGGTTTACAACCCAAATACAGGCATAATATTAAACCTTTATTGAACACTTCTACTTTTAGATAACTTCAGTTAGTTGTCCTGAACACGGCAGCGTAAACCGTTTTTTTAGAATTAATAATTATTTAGGGGTCTATTCATAAACAATTTACAAGGCCCTCTGCACTGTGAATATCTATGAATAATGTCAAAAGTGAATGATAAACATTTTGTGTTTCCAAATTCCAATGCATTGTGTTGTAGTAATCCATTATGGTCTCTAGATGGAGCTGAGGAGCATAGGAAATAAGTATGAACTGTATGAATAATTCAACCAGGAAAAAATATGCAGTATAAAGAGCACTCTTTTTGCTATTATTTGCCCAAAACGAACATTGTAATTGTTTATAAATAGACCCTTTAGAGATCATTCTGCCCTATGAAGTAGGAAGATAATTTCTGCATTTACAGATGAAGTTTGCATTGTCACCAAGCATAACACATATTTTTTTTCTTTTCTTGTTTCATTGGAAATTCAATGTATACTTACCCAACCATGATTCCTAGCCCCATCCCTGCACTATAGGAGCCCTTGCTATCAGAGCAGGTCCTCCAGGTAAGGGGGAGCCCATGCCCTCCCTTATGCGACCTGAGGCCTGAGCAGCCAATCATGAGGTCCAAACACTGTCACATGCAGTGCCATGACTTCATCCCACTGTCTAAAATGCGTGTTAGATGACACTTAGACAGGCAGGGATATTGCAAGCAGGGAGGCACTGATGGGTCTTGGCTAGGTAAGCATACATAGTTGGGGGAAGGATTATGTCACTTTGCACTTACTAGCTACAGACTCCCTATTGCACAGTCTCACCTCTTCAGCTGCCTCTGGGTTTACCCTCTAGTGTGCAGAGGTGACCTGATAAGGCAAAAAGATAAAAGTGGGAGATATCGGTCAGCTGAATAAAAAAGCATTCTCTGCAGATCATTGTTTTTGAAAACATATATCCATTAGTCTAAAAGGTCTTCTAATGTTTAATTCATAAGCAACCAGAAATATCTACAAACCACAACAAAACTGTACATGTTGCACAAAGCAGTTGCAAACTATACTGTCACTTATTCATTCGGGATTGCTTCAATAAAAAAGGAATTAGATAAATGATCTTTGAATATTTGTTAAATATTCACAAAATCAGCCCACTCTACTACCCTAGGCATGCCCACAGGGTCTTATAGTACGTGCTATGAATCTGAATTCTAAACATTGCACAGTGCAAAAATGCCCATCTGACCTAAACCTGAAAGAGAAAGTATGCATGTGGCTGTTTTCTAAAACCTGTATCAAAGGAGAAATACATCTAAACACCACAGCCTTGTACAGCCAATTTTGACTTTCATCCTTTGAGCCTCATCTGGAAGATGAAACACTGTGTACTGCATTGCTCTGACTTTCAGAAATCACATATTTTTATTCCAACCTCTGCAGGTTTCTTTAGCTAAAAAGGCCACATTACTGGTGCCTAGCTCACAATTTATTTTTCAAACGATGAATAGTTAAAAGGGAAGTATAATATATTTTCAGCAATATATTTTGAGATGATATTGCAGTGTTTACATTATTTTCATTTTTGAGGTGGCTTCAATTTTTACACGCTTGCTTTTCCATTATTTTGTGACTATATTAAACCTAGAAATTTGCTAATTTAGCCAAGAGAAAGAGCATTTTAAACAACTCAACTGATTCTTAACATCTGCTGAGATAAGCTATCAGTCATGCAGGGAATGCATTGTGTGAAGTGTCGGCTACTATTATAACTGCCAATTTTACTTACACAATTTTAAATATTAAAGTGTATGTTAAGGCCAACTTTTCTTTTTAGTTTTGTATAGCGTAGTGAATGATTAGAACTAGGGATGTCCCGATACCACTTTTTTAAGACCAAGTACAAGTGTTTGCCCTCATGTACTTGCCGATACCAATTACCGATACTTTTTCTTAACGTGACGTGACTCTGTCCATGGCTGTGCCTGTGTCGGGAAGGAGGAGCAGGAGGTAGAGAACCGGACAGGCACTGCCAGGGACAGCTACTGCTAGGTCTCCAGCAGGCTGCCGAGGACCCGCCGAAAATTTAAAGGGCCGGTATCGGCCTTAAGAATCGGGGCATTTTCACGAGTACAAGTACTCATGAAAATGACTGGTATCGGCCCCGATACAGATACTAGTATCGGTATCGGGACATCTAATTAAAACCCATCAGTTTTTTTTGCATGTGTCCCACTGAAGAGATTTTCTTTTACTAGCAGTGTCTAAGACACAACAGGTAAAAAGAAAATCTCTATAGAGTGAGGAAAATACCTCTTTTAGACTGTTGTCACTGGACAGGTTGTCACTGGACAGGTGCCTCCAATAGCAGATATCCCCTCACCTTCCCATCTCTTTCTCTGTCACAATGGTAACCAGGACAGAAAAGGAGAGTGCAATTTCCCAGCAGAGTCAAAGACAACAATAAAAAACTGACAGGGGTTTTAAGTCTTCCCTACTCAGTCTAGAACTCTCTAATACACATTGATAAGATTACTTACTGTACGAGGGAAGGCCAATAAGTTCTTACCCTCACCAAGATCCAGATGTGCTAGGGATAGGAAATTTAGTCCACTGACTCTTCCTTCTCTACATATCCACCTCCTATGATAACACACTTTTCACATCTGTGGAACAGACCTTTAATACCATCTGCGTTGAAGTATGCAGATTTGGAGGAAAAACAGCTATCAACTTCAGTATGATGACTGCCTCATCATTGTGGAAACATCTTCCCCGTAAATGTTTCTTCAGATTTGGAAACAGGAAGAAGTCTGAAGGTGCCAGGTCAGGTGAGTAAGGTGGATGGGGCAGAGATTCATAGCCACAATCGCGAACAAAAAGTGGCAGTTTCTGCAGCTCGATGTGCAGTGCATTGTCTGCTAGCAGCAACACAGCTTTTTAAATACCTACCGTATATACTCGAGTATAAGCCGTCCCGAATATAAGCCGAGGTACCTAATTTTACCACAAAAAACTGGGAAAAAGTATTGACTCGAATATAAGCCGAGGGTGGGAAATGAGGCAGCTACTGGTAAATGTACAAAATGAAGATAGATACCAATAAAATTACATGAATATGACGCTGACTTGAGTATAAGCCGAGGGGGGCACTTTTCAGCAAAAAAAATGGGCTGAAAAACTCGGCTTATACTCGAGTATATACGGTAATCACGGCACGGTATTCAACTTTGTCCGGCATGACACCTACTCCATTTCTCTTGACTCTAACTATAATTCACCACGACCTACAAAAACAAAAAATGCCATGCATATTACCAAGATATCCACCTATAAACTTGCAAAATTTCAGATCCCTAGCACATCTAGATCATGGTGAGGGTAAGAACTTATTGACCTCCCCTCCTACATCATGCTTTTTACATGTATTGCTAAAAAGTAAATTCAATGCATGTGATGACTGCACATTAATGTACATGTGACTTGTAAATAATATTTCTGTTTTTTCCAGGCACACCATGTTTCATATCCTTCAACCTAATAAAATATTAAACACTGATACAGAAACAATGCAGTCAGGTAAGTATCCATTCTTACTTTCTAAGAGTATATAACTAAGGGGTCTATTTATAAACAATTTGCAGAGCCCCTCACCCTTCGAATATCTGTGAGCTTTCATTTTGGGTGAACAAAGCGGGCAAAGTATACTATTACGTCACCATACATTTGAACTGGAAATAAATATATTAAAAACATACATTTTAAGCATTATTCGCCAAAATCCAACATTTGCAGATTTTTGCAGAGCGAACGGCCCTGTGAATTGTTTATAAATAGACCCCTTAGACAATGTATGCCATAGAAATCTGTAGCAATATACTTCATTATACAGCAATAGTTTTTAAAGCTTTTTTTTACTATATGTTTGCAATTTTTGTTTATTAACATTTAGTGTATGAGAAAGTATTCCCAGAGTACTATGGGTTATCTAATGAGACAAATCAGCAGAAGCTCCCTGCTTCTGTTGTTGTTGTTGTGTCTGTCTGAAACCTCAGATTGAGCCATCCAATAAATAATGAGACACACTTCTGATTCATTTGCTAGTGTCATGAGCTACTAAACTCTTAAAAATTTTATTCTTACAACATGTGCTAAGGAGAGAAATGAAGACAGCCCAAAGTACCACCTGCTGATTGGATAGAAATCTACATAATATTTATATGCAATATTTTACATTTACCTGTCTAATTAAAAGGAAAATATTTTTAATCATGTATTTAATGATCATGATAAATAACATATAAACAAATGACTATACATGCTCCTAGTTCTAAGACCAGGCTGTCGTTGATAGCTGTTAGCCTCCACCAATGACCAGGAACCCGTCAGCGTAGTTCCCAATTGTGTGATCACCTTGGCAGCTGATTGTGATGATCATATGGGAGGGGTTTGTTTACAAACATGCCCACTTCAGCTGTCAGAGAGTGGCATAGTAACAGCAGGCCGCTGCTGTCATGGTACAATACAATGTGTAACAAAAAAACGAAGCAAAATTTGATTAAAAGAAAACTATGGGGTAACCTTTTTCTCCCATAGTTCTCTTTAGGGTCACTGGAGGACATATACTTACGTCCAACGTGACCGCTATACGCAGACAGCGCCGCAGCCGGGATGGATCCCAACAATACTGTCAAGATCAACCCAGCTGGCTGATTGACAGCGAGCTTTGCCTATCTAGAGGCAGAGCCAGCTGTGCCAGCCCCCTCCCCCGTCTCTTCCTCCAGTAAGCCCTGAAGGATCAGAGAGGGAAGGAGGAAATCCCTGCGGGGAGCGATAAGTGACAGGCACCGCTCTCTGCAGGGAGATGATCGGGAAGTGAGCAAGCAACAATATGTGTTCGCCCGCTTCCCGATCAATAGAGCCGACATGTAAAAGTTTAAATGTCCCACATTGGCTCTAACTATGAGGATAAGTGAAAGTCACTCACCTCATAGTTCTCCTTTAATAACTGTTTTGTGTAAACTTATGAATAATTATTGTCTATTTGTCAGCTTATGATAAAAACAGTGTATCAAATTAAAAAGCCTTAAATGTCCTTAAAAATCATTTAAAATTAGGTGGGCAAATTAGTCAAAGAATTATTGGGAAGCTTCATGTTTTTGAGATTGTTATTCTTCTGGAGAGATTTGCTGTCTTAAAGGACATGATGCTGCCTGTGTCTTTTGTTTGGATTTCACCTCACTTCCTCTCCCAGTGGTCACCTGGACAAATAAATAAAAATAAATTTTCTTTGACATTGATACAGACAGCAATCAATACAGTCTATTTCGAATTTTGAAGGTGTAGTACCTCTGCCAGGTAGTTATTGCTGTTTGTGTTTCCATTGGGAAGATCTGCTTCCTTTGTTTAGGCTAAAGCCTCAATTGGGGGGGCACAGGCAGCAATAACTACCTCACAGCAGTTCTAAGCCATCCCTACTCTAGCTGAAAACAACTTTTGGCTGAAATTATACTTTGACTACCTTTTCGTCCACAAGATGGTGCTGGCAGCAGCATTTTATGTTCGTTGTTGTATACGATATATACTGTGATAGATTATATATACTGTATATACACTATATTGCCAAAAGTATTGGGACGCCTGCCTTTACACGCACATGAACTTTAATGGCACCCCAGTCTTAGTCTGTAGGGTTCAATATTGAGTTGGCCCACCCTTTGCAGCTATAACAGCCTCAACTCTTCTGAGAAGGCTGTCCATAAGGTTTAGGATTGTGTCTTTGGGAATGTTTGAGCATTCTTCCAGTAGCGCATTTGTGAGGTCAGGTACTGATGTTGGACAAGAAGGCCTGGCTCACAGTCTCCGCTCTAATTCATCCCAAAGGTGTTCTATCGGGTTGAGGTCAGGACTCTGTGCAGGCCAGTCAAGTTCCTCCACCCCAAACTCACTCATCCATGTCTTTATGGACCTTGCTTTGTGCACTGGTGCGCAGTCATATTGGAACAGAAAGGGGCCATCCCCAAACTGTTCCCACAAAGTTGGGAGCATGAAATTGTCCAAAATGTCTTGGTATGCTGATGCCTTAAGAGTTCCCTTCACTGGAACTAAGAGGCCAAGCCCAACCCCTGAAAAACAACCCCACACCATAATCCCCCTCCACCAAACTTTAGATTTAGCACAATGCAGTCAGGCAAGTACCGTTCTCCTGGCAACCGCCAAACCCAGACATGTCCATCGGAAAGCCAGACAGAGAAGCGTGATTCGTCACTCCAAAGAACACGTCTCCACTTCTCTAGAGTCCAGTGGCGGCGTGCTTTACACCGCTGCATCCGATGCTTTGCATTGCACTTAGTGATGTAAGGCGTGGATGCAGCTGCTCGGCCATGGAAACACATTCCATGAAGCTCTCTACGCACTGTTGTTGTGCCAATCTGAAAGCCACACAAAGTTTGGAGATCTGTAGCTATTGACTCTGCAGACAGTTGGCGACTTCTGCGCACTGTGCACTTCTACATACGCTGACCCCGCTTTGTCATTTTGTGTGGCCTACCACTTTGTGGCTGAGTTGCTGTTGTTCCCAGTCGCTTCCCCTTTGTTATAATACCGCTAACAGGTGACTGTGGAATATTTAGTAGCAAGGACAGTTCACAGAACACCTGAATCCAATGATTTGGAGGGGTGTCCCAATACTTCTGGAAATATAGTCTGTGTGTGTGTATATTGTGTATATATCTATCTATATATATCTATATATATATAGATATATATACACTGAAACCATTTTTGTTTCTCCTGTAGATGTACCTAATGCCATAAGTGTGCACTGGAGTGGATGCCACAATTTCTTCATCTACCTACTGCACAGATCTGTCAAGGATAAGGCAGGTAAATGCTTTTAATTAACTATAACAGTTTGCTGAGTTAGAAAAGAATGTTATAATAAAATCATGTGGTGTGCTTTTATTTTTAAAGATCCTAAAAAATAACAGCTAGCTATAAAAGTATCCAGAAATAATTAATATTAGTTTACTGTGTATTGACAAGATTAGGATGAACATGTCTCTTTCAACAAGAATGCCTTAACATAGGATAAATGTATTGATTTGACCATACCCCTGTCAGTAGTGGGCAAGGACGCTAGCTGTATGTGTACCAAGTGCAGTTTCAAATGTATTCTTCTGTATATAATACAGCATGCAATGCCAGAATAGCCAGAATTCATGGAGCTTGTGCAATAATAGTGACATGTGGAAAGATGTCACTGCCCCGAGCCTGCATTAAAATCTCCCAGTTTTCGAAGTCCAACCAAAGAGAGCACAACAATGCTCCAGAAACTCAATCAGAAAACAGAAGTCATACACCGATGATGTCCAATCACATTCCACTTTATTGAACCCGGATATAGCACACTTGAGCCATGCCTAAGACCGCCCCTATCTACCATTTTACCCAGTATGGGCTTTAAGCATTGGACACTGGAACAATCTGCAATCCCTAAAATTAGATTACAGATAATTGACACATTGCTGACATCATACTTACTTTCTCTATGACAATAACTTGCTTATTTTCACACTGTACCATAGACACTCTCAATGAAATGGTTAGTTGACATCACCTAGTGGAAAATTGAGGTGATATATACAGAGCCAATGTGGATAAGCCATGCTGACTTTCTGGACAAGGGATCATGGTGATATTGAGATACTAGGCAAATATCAATACTTTGAGCTCTAATATGACCTGATATGTTGTACTTATTACTTACTGAGCGAGGTTGCATGGGCCTTTTGTACCTCCCTTCTGCGATCCCCCATCACGATACAGTAAGGTCGCATATGCCCTTTGTTGTGTTGCAGTTGTTAATACATGTTCAAATTTAGATTGAAAGCTTCTGATCACACATTCATGTTGAGTATACATTTTGTGTTGTCAAGTTGATGTTTGTGTTATACATCTGTGATTGTTACTTAACCTTTTTACCATTAACCTTACGCAGTGATGGGAAGATCCTTTGGGTGGTTTAACATAACATTAATGTTACTGTGATGTTTGTGGAGCCTTACCTCTTAATAGTCAAATATACAGAGGCTCAGAGGCTTGTGCCTGGGCATGGTTGCTTACCAGTTCTCCCACTGCATTACCACATAGGATTTCTTACTTATTAAAATAAATTGACTGGAAACATGTCACCTTTTAATACATCCCCAAAGACCAGCCCCTTCTTCTCCCCCCCCCTCCCCCACCACCACCACCACCAACCCACAATCTGTCCACACTTGCATGCACTCTCCTCTTTCTTTCCCATCCCTTAATTACTGGTGATTACATGAATACTATACAGCTGATCATTCCTGTTCATTAGAGGTGGGAGAATGACACCTTCCTGACGTCATGTGTGGGTGGGGGAGCTTTCTTGATTGGTGGAAGGGTCGTTATCAATGTGTATTTCAAAACTTGTATTGTATTGTTGCTTCACTCTCTGTTTGCCTGAGGAAGGGGCCGCATGGTCCCGAAACATTGCTAGAGGTGTTTTCACTTGGGTCAATAAACTTATTGACTTGAATACTGGGAGTGCCGGTGACTTTATTATTTTGTACGTTTTTGGTGGAGGCATCCGTTGTTGCTGCTGCACCCGCCCTGCTGAAGGGCATTTTCCGGTCAGGAGTGCGATGGGATACTTGGACTTTTAACTATGCCAGGAGGGTAACCCATCCACTTGATAAAGACTATACCTATTATTTCCCAGCATGTTTTTAACTAGCTAATACACGTTGATACCAAATATCACCACCTCTATTGGCAGTTTGTGATCACATCCCAATATGTTTGCCGATTGATTCCCCAGAACTTCAACATAAGCCTCAGTCCTGGAGTGTAAAGAACAATTTACTCAAAGACATGGAGTGTATTTCTGAGATATCCAGGACCATAAACATATTACTCCCTTACCTACCCAATGGGAAGGGCTTTACTATGTCCTCAAAGGCATTTTCATAAAACATGCCACCTGACTAAAAGCACAAAATACTACCCTTTTAAATAAAATACACACCATGACCTATAACATTTCTGGATCCAAAAGCACTTTAAGCAAGACCAGAGCTGTATTACTATGCCTATTGGAACAAAACACACTACGCCAAAGAGATAAAACCTGCTCTCCATTTTATGAAGACATTAAAAAATAACAAAGCGATTGCTAGCAAGAGCCCTTTATTCCAAACTCTCCCAGGCAGTTATTTCCATGATTACAGGCAGATAAGGAACTAAATGCCATAACCCAATACATATTGCAAACACTTTTAATTTCTTTTATGAAACCTTTTATAATATCCCGGACCAAAAACCTAATATACAGGTGAAACTCGAATAATTAGAATATCGTGCAAAAGTAATTGCAGTAAGTGCTGCAAAAGGGGCCCAAACCAAGTACTGAGTACATATGCATGCTTGTACTTTTCAGAGGTCCGATATTGTTCTATGTACAATCCTTGTTTTATTGATTGCATGTAATAATCTACTTTTTTGAGGTTGTGGCTTTGGGGTTCTTGGGGTTTTCATGGGCTGTAAGCCATAATCATCACAATTATGACAAATCACGACTTGAATTATCTTGCTTTGCATGTAATGAGTCTATGTCATATATTAGTTTCACCTTTTAGGTTGCATTAGTGAAATAAATGAACTTTGCACGATATTCTAATTATTCGAGTTTCACCTGTATATCCCTTAACACATAGAGTTAAAATACTAGCATGTAAAATGAAATCACATTGCCCATCTTACTGCAAGATGCAATAAATGCACTTGAAGAACCCCATTTATCAGAAGAGGTTGATACAATCATTGCCTCCTCAGTAATAGGCAAAAGCCCCGACCCAGAATAGCTAACCCCACAATTCTATAAATTCTTCAAAACCACTTTAACCCCTATACTGACAAAAACAGTTAATGCAATCTCAAAAACATGCCCATTTCCATCACAATCTTTGGAAATACACATTGCAGTACTCCCTAAACCAGGGAAAGATCCAGCTATATGTGGCAGGTATAAACCAATTTCCTTAACAACTTTGGACATCTGATTATATTACAAATCTCTTGCTACCAGACTCAAACCCTATATTCCACATGTGATTTATTTAGACTAAAGCTTAATGCTACCTGAATGTGCACAGATTTTTACCTACCTGCCTATTATCTTTTGATTGTTTTCTTCAAGTTTTACCATTGTCCCAAATAGGAATAGGCCCTAAGTTTCTTCAAAAAAATCCTTGTATTTGAACCCCATGGTCAGGGTAGGTGGAAATGGTTTTCCTTCAGATCTCTTGTCAGTGGCACAAGGCAGGGCTTCCTGGAACACCTCGCAAATGCAATCTGCCCCAACCCTGACATTTCTGGACTCCACATTGGGGAGAAACACTTGACAAATGTCTATATATGATGATGACCTCCTGGTATACAGTATATCATGTCCCCTCTGATCACCAAGCCATCCCTTAATAAATGATTTAAAAGGTCCAGTTACATAACTAAATTCAAAGTAAACTATGATAGGACTGAGGCTTTAAATGTCTCCCTACCTATATAAATGGGCTCTTAACTTTAATAGAACTTCACCTTTCACTTACATACAAAGGCCATGAAATTCTTAGGTACATGCCTTTAATCCTAAATATAATCAAGATAGATATCTCACCCAAACGATCCCCCTTTCTCCAAAACCTATTTTCTTTACAAAACGAATAAAACACTACAGAACTTTGTATAGAGTGAAAGGGCAAAATAACCATTTGCTTGTTTCTGGTATACACATAGTTATTGTTTGAACAAGATAATTGTGTTTTCTCCAGAAACTAATTTAGTTGTTTCCAAAATGATAAAACTGCATTCCTGGCCAAATTAACTTTTCCTTATCTTTGTGAAAGAAACATAAGACCTTGAAACTATCCAGCTAATTTATTTTTTGTAGCTGTTCTATAGTCCATACTATTATTAGTTTTGTATACGTGTATGATTTTCCATTAGTTAATCGCTCCACCATCGCCCCTTTCACTGTCCATATAATCTTTTGTATTGATAATAAACCTTTGAATATTGAGTGAATAGACAACTTGGTGTGACTCTTCATTCCCAAGTACTTGTCTGAAGCTGACAGCACAACCGAATATCGGGAAACCTTTAAGAGAAAGTCCTACCAGGAGTCTGAAGGTTCAAGTCCGCTCAGTGTAACTTTCCTGAGGAACCCTAACATAGAGTAACAAAAAAATCTAGGCTGCAAACTTCAATGTTACACCTCCTAAAATATTAGGGCAGGACAGTGTTACCCAATATTTGCCTATATCACAAATCTGCCCAGCTCGGCAGAATTATAGACTGGTTTCATGGTTGGGATTGCAAGTCTTGGGTTACCCTGGAGGAGAATGTTGCCCAAACACTACTGACTTCCTGGATATCAACCGTACAGTGATAACCTTTCTTGACCTCAGCTATTTTAACTACATGGGACTTATCGAAGATGGGTAACATCACTGTAAGAGTGGATCCTATGACCCATCTCCTTGTTTGAAAACTGTAAGATCCCACCAGTTACAAATTTAGATATTCCATTGGGAAAACAAAATGTTCCTGGATGGAGCATTCTCAGCTAGCACAATTCATCCACTCCCTGGGTAATTTTCACACCCCCACTAGAAAATGTACAGCCTATGAAACCACACTCACTCAAAAAAAAACTAAACCCTTTTTTGTATATTCACATAATATAGATTATTACTCTAGGAATGTGACTCCACTACTCCGAATGTCATTGTCACATGAGAAAAGGAGCTCAATTTGACTTTCGGAGAATCAAAATGGGAAACGTAATTTAAAGTGGCACA